CTATCAAAGTACCTATCACACTGTTATGATTTTTGTCAGTTTTCTTGTCTGTCTCCTGAATTGGAGGTTAGGGACGGTATCAGCTGCATCCCTATCAGGTAAATCACTTGGCCCTTCTGCTTAAACCTTGCAAAGGCATTTCAGCTCCTCCCTGTCCTTAGCCACTGTCACCTCCCATCCCAGTGTTCCTGCATCACTGTGGAAACACTGTGCAGCCACTGTGGAATTGCTGTGCCTCACACCCACCCACACTGTTCCTGCCTAAGGCCTTTTGCAGTTAACCTGCCTGACCGGAATGTTCTTCCCTCAAAGGCACAAAGCTGGCTCCTTGTGATCCTTGCTCAACTCAGAAGCCATCTCCTCAGAGAGGCCTTCCTTAAGGGCAAATATAAGGAAACCCTTCCCACTCAATTGTCTCCCATAGCCTCCCTTCCCATAGCCTTACAATCTGAAATTATCATGTTTCCCCTCCTGGACAGTAAGTTCTTTTTCTGTCTTTGTTTACCATTGCATTTCCGTTGCCCATTCAATGTTGTCTTTCATCAACTAGAACTATCAAAACAAAATATCACAGAGCAAGCAGCTTAAACAACAGAATTTTATTTCACACCATCCTGTGCTCCAAGTAGGAACAGAGAAAAAGTGGTCTGGAGATTGGTCCAAGATTAAGGTTCTAACAGGTAGGCTTCATTTTGAGGCCTGTTCTCTTAGCTGCCATCTCACTGTGTATGCACTTGACCTCCTCCTTGTCCTCTGGTGAGAGAGCAAGCTCTCTGGTGTCTCTTCTTCTTTTAAGGACACCAGTTCTATCAGATTAGGGCCCTATCCTTACGACTTCATTTAACCAGAATTATCTTTTTAGAGGTTTACTCTCTCTAAACACAGTCACACTGGGGTTATGTCTTTAACATGTGAAGGGGGGAGTAACACAATTCACTCCATAACATGTGCTCTTTTGTCACTCTAACAAATATCTGAGATAACCAACTTACATAAAGAAAAAAGGTTTATTTGGGCTCATAGTGTTAGAAGTTTCAGTCCATGTTCAGTGGGCCCTTGTTATTTTGGGCCCTGTAGTGGGGCAGCAGATCATGGCCAGAGTACAGGGAGGAGCAAAGCCACTTATCTTGTAACTAGAAGGCAAGATAGCCCAAGAGTCCTGGGTTCCACTGTCCCTTTCAGAGGCACACCCCCAGTGACCCAAAGACCTTCCACTAGGCCCCACCTCTTAAAGTGTCCCTATAACTTCCCAATATCACCCTGCTGGGGACCAGACCTTTAATACATGGGCCTTAGAAAGACAGTAGAGATCCAAACTCACATTTAATAAGCAGATGTAGTCCCTGTCTGGAATGATGCCCTCTGCGGGGCAGGGATCAACCAAAGCATTAAAAAGAAGAAATCAAGAGGCAGGGAGCAGAACTCACTATACCTGCAAAGCTTTTGCCTAGCATTTGCAAGGTCCTGGGCTCAAGCCCCAACTCCACAAAAATAGAAAAAAAGAATTTCAGGAGCCCACAAATATCTACTCCAGTGGGCACAATCTGCACAGATGGTCTTCACGGTGGAGTGAGTCAGAGCAATAGCCCCTGCCCACATTTTTAAGAGCCAATCAGCTAGGGGCAGTGGTGCATTCCTATAATCCCAGCAATTTAGGAGGCAGGATGATCACAAGTTCAAAGCCAGCCTCAGCAAGTTGGCAGGACCCTTTCTCAAAAAACAAACAAAAAAAAAAATTAAAAGGACTGCAGATATAGATCAATGGTAAAGCACCCCTGGGTTCAATTGCCTGAACCCTGCTGGAGTCTCCTGTTACCTTTGCCCTACATGTTTGGTTTCCTGGAGGCTGGCCATTTTGAGGTTCACCTCTGCAAAGAACTTTGCACTGTGATGAATTCATATTCCAGCACCCTGTCCTCCAAAGATCTCTTGGGGGTTTCTTTCTTTTTTTTGTTTTGTTTTTGTTTTTGTTTTTGTTTGGTGCTGGGATCATACCCAGGGCCTTGTGCATGCAAATCAAGCACTCTGTCAACTGAGCTATATCCCCCGTCCTTCTTATGGGTTTCAACAGTGTAACTGGGTGGCCTGAGATCTGACAAGTCCAGCTGCCATGGGAGAGCTGAGGCTCAGACCTAAAACCATGCTAAATTTAACAAAGAAATCTCCTGGAACCCCATTCTAAGCTATTATCAGATTAGCTCCAAAAGCATCCCTCAGGAGCTGATCTGGGGTCATTGTCACCAATGCACTGGCCTACCTCCCACAGCTACATTTCCAGGAGAGGACAGTGAGGATTTGTTAGGAATGTGAACCCTAGGGCTACTATTCTTCCAATATCAAAGGTGAGTTATAGCAGCTCACTAGAACCAACAGACTGTAAGTAACCTTCTTCAGGAAGATTCTCATCAACAAGAATTGCCATCCTCACTCTGGATATAAAACTTCCAAATATTTGTCTAAAATGTCCTCTGTACTTATTGCTGGGAGATAGTGGAGACAAGCTAAGAGATATGTGTGAGTACATATGTGAGTCTCTCACTGTGTGAAGGGGGAAAATATTTTAAAATGTTGAACAATTTATAGACATCTACTTTCTACAAAATGCTTGACTGTAACCTGTGAAGCGGTTTCTGGACACACTTCTTTTTTTCTGTTTGTAAGTACTGCCTGACCACATTCCTGGATGGAGTTCTCCAAACCTCTCCTCATACTAAGTGATTCCCAATTTTAAATCATTATCTGCTCAAATAAACTCTGCTAATTGAAAGAAGGAGGAATTGACATCAAAGAAGTCAAAGAACTTTCCATAACCCAGAAATTTTAATGAGTCAAAACAGGCCACAGCTACCCAGACCCAAGGGAATGAGGTTTTACTGCCCATAACCTCTAGTCTGTCCATGGGTCTGTGATTGCTGTTGTGGATGTCAGACCCCATTAAGTTTGTTATCAGTGTCTGTTCTGATCAATGCTCACTTTGTAGGGGAAAGGATATCCCACCTGTGTGTCACCGTGGGGGTCATATGAGATGGTCTCAGCATAGACAACCAAAGGGGCCAGCATGCAGGAGACTCTCATGGTCATCCAAATGAACTTTCACTGGGTCATGCTCAAGGCTTGGGAGATGAGCAAAAGGAGCATCAGCTTTTGCTTTCAGCTATTCAGCAAGCATCTACTTGGCACCAAACTATAACCATTAGGTATACAGACACATGCTCTAAATGTAGGCAAGGATGCTGCAAGGAGGGGCAAAGTCACCCTCACAGGATATAAATATGGCCTGTGCAGGGTGGGGGATGGGGCTATGACTCTTAGGTTAGCAAGATGCATTTGTATTCAGACAGTTTAGAACTGTGCTTTTAAAGTCTGTTGCAGTGGTACAAGAGGCTGAGGCAGGAGGATCACCTGAGCTCAGGAGTTTGAAACTTTCCTGGACAACATAGCAAGACACCATCTCAAAGGGGTGGGGCAGGAAGATTCATAGATAGGTCAGTGATTCATAGATAGGTCAGTGAAGCACCACTGTATCCACCTTGAAATGATATTTTGTATATATTGAATAAAATAAAATATGGCAATAGCATTAATTTCACCTTTTTTGTTCTTTTTAAAATGCGGCTACTACAAAATTTAAAATGACGTGTGACTATATTTCTAGACAACTACACTTAAAAGTTGAAAGACTGGCTCTCTGAGAGGACTTCCTGTCCTTTCTCCACAGACTCCCCCTGCAGGCCTGGAGAAGAAGCTAACTGTGCAGCTTGTATGAGGTGGAACAAACAGGTCCTGAGAGAGCCCAGAGAGATGCCTGTGGAAAATACTGGCAAACAGGGAGTTAAACAAAGGGTCGCTTCAATTTCAGCTTCAGGGTGGCCTTGAAGGTGGCCATTGTAGAATTATTAAAGTTACATATATATAAAACAATAAATCTTATTCTGTTTAGTATACTTTAAAAGTCACAACCAGACCTTTGTATCATGTTAGTTTTAAATATCTGAAACTCTAGCCTTACCTTTGTTTCCTTCTCAATCCCTTCAAATTCCTGATGAATAAGTGAAACTCTCCCAAGCCCTTAAGCAATTCTGAGGATGACAGCCAATACTAATTGGATGCTTACTGTGTTCCTAAGCACTGTTCTGTGTTTCACCTTACAACACTCTCTTGGGGTCAACACTCTGACTAACCCTAATTTAAAGAAAAAGGAGCCTGAGGCACAGAGAGGAAAGTGACTTTTCCAAGATCATCCAACCCCAGGAGAACCCAAAGTCTCCTGATTCCTAGGCTTGGTGTGAGATCACGGGCCTGTCAGGCCCCAGGCGGCTCCCAGGAGATTTGTTCTGCCCTGTGATGGTAGAGGGAAGCACCTACTTAGGCTTCAAGAGCATAGGTCGTGATCACCTTTTATCGTGCATGTCTGACCCTCGCAAGGCTTTCAATGACAACGAAGTGATGAGAGACCCAGGTAGGAGCATGAGCCCCGCTTTACAATAGGAGCAAAGAGGGGGTACTAGACCGGATGCAGGGTCTGTGCGCTCAGGCCCCTCTCTCAGGAGGAGTTCCAGGCGGTTCCAGTGCCCAGCGCTGACAAGCAGCAGGCGACGTTTTCTGAATGAAGAACGATCTCTCCAAAGGCGAGAGTGCGGTAGGTAGGCTCTTGGGGAGGACCGCGGTGCGCGCATCTGGGGACGCTGAGTCAGAGTGCGGGGGCGAGGACTCGGGAGGAGAGGATGCGGGGAGAGGACAGGGAGGGAGGGTTGCGGCGAGCCGACTGGGACCGGAGTTGGGGAGGGGCGAGGACGCGGGGAGGCCGGGGCGCCGCCGTGGGGAAGGACGCGGGGAGGGGGCGCGGCGCCGAGGACAGGCTGACGGGGGCCGGGGTCGCGCGGCGGACTGGGCGGCGGCGCGCAGCGACACAGCGTCTCGAGGCGAGGACGAGCGAGCGCGGCGCCCGCASCTCTCAGCACAGCCCTTGACGCGCGCCCAGAGGAGCGGCTACTGAGCTCGAGCCCGGCTCCCTCCTCGTCCCCTCCGCGCTCCGGCAGCGCCAGGCCTCGCCATGGCCTCCGCGGTCTGGTCTCGCTTCTGTCGCATCCTCTGGCTCGCTTGCCTCCTGCCTTTAGCCCCAGCGAGGGTGGCGGCAGGTAAGGAGCTGGCCCGGACGTCCCTGTCCCCGCAGCCGCAGGTCGCCCGGGGCTCGGGGCGGTCCCTCGCGGGCCGGCTGCCCAAGCCTTGCTGCGGAGGTGGTGCCGTGAGCCCTGCGCGCTCCTCCCTCCTCCCTCGAGGCCACCGCTGCCGTCTGGGAGTCTAGGCCGGTAGGGCGCCGGACTCTCTCCCTTGTCCCCTCTCCCCAGAAGTCTCCCGGGCACTTGACGGGACTCCTCGTGCCCCTCAATTCTTGCTTCCACCCTCAGGTCGGCCTGCCCTGAAAAGCGCTCGCTGTGGCCGGCGCTTCCATCCATCCCCGGGCGCCACTGAGCGAGGGGGAGCGGAGGACGACGCCGGGAGGCCGGAGTGGGCCCGGGTGGGCCGGGGTGGGCCCGGGTGGGCCTGGGCGGTCTTTGCGCCACAGCACCCCAGGGGGCACCGACAGATTACCTACAGGGCTGCGTCTTTGCCTTAAGATGCCACCTTGATCTAGGGAGGTTTTCACCTTGCTTGGGTTGGCTTTGTGGGTAAAGGGATGAGATTTTAGAGCCCAGGAGGCCAGTCTGCCATTTCCTAACTGGGAGTGATTTCTAAAATGGACCCCCAGCTGACAGGTTCCCACCATCCAGAGGCCAGCACCAACCTTCCAACACATTGTGAAATCAATAAAAGGACCCAGATTGGAAAACTGAGAGACAGGTGGAACGTGGGCAGCTATGGGGGTAGGGGGCCACAAATGGAATACCAAGATTTTTCAGTAGCCCTCACCCATAAAAGAGTGATAGGGAGAGGAAGGAATCTAATGCACATTTGTAGAAGAAAAGCCAAAAGGTACGTCTTAGGCATGAATTAGGAGAATTTGGGGAAATTGTGCTTGGACAGGATCACTTGCTTCCCCTTGGAAATTCATACAGAAATCAAGTCTCTTATCCACTCTGGCTACATGTGTCTAGAAATTGGACACATTTAAAAAAAATAAAATGAATTTTGATACAAAAATAAAATAAATTATTTGGAAATACATGTGGTTCCTAGGCTGGCCAATTGCATCCTTGATAGAGTCAAAATTAACAGTAGCTGAGGCTGGAGCTGGCAACGTACCTTCTCCTCCACCCATTAGAGATCAGCTTGATGGATGCATCCAAACTAGGATTTATGCCTCAGAAGTCCATGTATTGGACTGGTAATCATGATAGGTTATTAGACTTAGGGAGGTATTTTGGCTTGTCTACGTGTGATCTGTGAAAGGGCAGATATAGCCATTTTCTGGAATGTTCTGGGGCCCCACATGCTGTATTGTGGGAAAATGTACACTCCCCAAGTGGAGGCCCTGGATAGCTGGTGGGTGAGCATTTCTTCCAGGGCTCAGCTTTGGGGGCAGTTACCCCTTTCATTTTTGCTTTGGTCACTTTAACCATGGATCACCTGGGAACTAGTGTCGCTCCCAAGCCCTCTCCTGGCAGTTCTGTACTCAAACCAGAAAAGATGGATTTGGATGGGTCAAGCAGCAAGCCCCTGGGCTTGGTTTCCTTCAACTGTACTTGGCTCAGCCTTCGACAGACACCTCCAAAAGCCCTGGCAGAGCAGGTGGGGGCTGCTGTGAGTTAAGCCAGTGTTTGCAGCCTTGTCTGCAGTGGCCACAGCCCCTCCCTGCCCCCCCCTCCCTCCTCCCAGTCCCAGCCGGCTGCCCTCCTGGATCTGCGTAGTGTGCTGACAGGCGCCCATCTCACTGCAGACGCAGGATGGCCATTAGCATGCAGCAAAATGTCCCTGCCACCTTTCATCCTCTCCCTAGTCTGTGCTTCTCAGGCAAAAGATGGGGGGTGGCAGGAGCCAGAGGGAGAAGGAAGGAGGTGGCCTCCCATCTGAGCGCCCTCTGCACCATTGGGCCTGGTTGCCTCCAACCAGAGGGAGGGAGACTAGAACCCAGCCCTGGGGTGCAGATTTGCTGGGTGGTCCTGGGCAGCAGCAGTAGCTCCTGAAGATCTCTGGTCCTCCACGTAATATTCACACTGTATTTTCTTGGGGAAGTTTCCACCACCATGCTTGGAATTCTCTCTTTGGGGTTAAGACAATACTGGTTCCCTTTTCAGTGCCAGTATTTCCTTGGACATGACCTTGGCATCTTGACTCCAGTGCCTTTGTCATTCAAGAAATGGCCCTCAAGGAAAGAGACTCGGAAAAGGGAATGTGGGACTTGGGTGAGAGGAGAGGTTGGAGCCAAAGTCCCCAGTGGAGGCAGGTAATGTTGCTGTGGGAGTGACTGGGGCACAGTTGAAGACAAACTCACCTTCCAGTTTTGCTGAGAGACCAACAGGGGTGAGCTCCCCCAGGCCAGGCACATGTCCTGCATTTCTGGGTCCTTCCAGCACCTGCGGAGGTAGCACACAGAGAAGGGGCTCAATTGGTAGCACCTGGATGAACAGTCCTTGGGGGCAGTGCCAGGTGGGCTGGTCCCTGTGCCGTACCTACTCTCCAGGCGTCACTCAGTCAGTAATTTGCTGAGCACAGAGGAGATGGGGATGACCCCTGCTCTCAAGGAGTTCAAAGTACACTGGGGGAGAAGAAGGAACCTTCATTCATTATGGTGTGCGACAGCGATAAGCTCAGGCTGTCCAGAGAGCACTGGGGCCCGAGGGTACACAAAGGCTTCCTGGAAGATATCGTGTCCATCTGTGTGTGTGTGGGGAGGGGGGGAGGGATGTTTGCAAAAATTAAAGTGCCACAGTACAGATGTTCCAAGATGTGAATCTGGAGCCATGCTGAGGCTACCCTGTGAGCATGTGGTCAGATTGTGCAGGAAACTGTTACTGGGGTGGTCCTGGACGCTAGGGACCAGGGACCAGGGTGGAGAAGGAATCCAGACAGGGCTGCATGCCAGCTTTAAGCAATGGGATGGAGTAGGGATGGAGAGGCCAGGAATGTGCCAGATGGGAGGAGCTTGAATGGCAAAGACCTGGGATCCATTCTAGGGATAGTTGGCCCCTCCTCCCCCAGGAGAGTGAGGGGAGAGAAGCTACAGGGATGAGGCCAGGGCTGGCCAGGAGAAGTCTGGCCAAGGATAGAAATATTCTGTTGTACCTGAGCTGAGAGTGGCCGGTAACCACAGATGACGGGTAAGCGCTTGGAATGTGGCTGGTGTGACTGAAAAATTGAACTCTTAGTTTTAACTAAATTTAAGCAATCAAATTTGAATAATTTAAACTCCATCCAAATGTCCAGTAGCACTATTGGTAAGAGTGAAGTGGTGTGAAATAAGATAAAACCTACTGGAGGGATTATCATGCAAATATTGAAATTGAGATTACTGCCACCACAGACATGCTTTGGATATACTGTCCTGTGAAAATAAAAGAATTCAAAATTGCACGCAGAGTGATTATGACCGGAAAAACTTCCATGCATGAGAAAGATACGTGAGGACAACAGTGTGACAACGGCTATTGTCTTTGGGAAGCAGGATAACGGGACATGTCTATTATTCTTGATGCCTATGCATTATTTTTATGATGGAGGCAAAGCTTACTTTGAATATCTTACCTGTTTATATAAAATATCTTGCCACTGTCTAAAATACATGAAGAAAAATGACTTGGGACAATGCCCATGAATTTCACTCAACTTTGTTTTCCAAATTTGAATTTTGTTCAACCTTAAAGTGTAGTCCAAAGAATGGAAATGTAGGCATTTTTTTTGAGCGGGGGGAGGGTATCAGGGATTGAACTCAGAGGCACTGAGCCACACCCCCAGCCCTGTTTTGTATTTTATTTAGAGACAGGGTCTCACTGAGTTGCTTAGCATTTGCTTTTGCTGAGGCTGGCTTTGAAGTTGCAATCCTCCTGCCTCAGCCTCCCCAGCCACTGGGATTGCTGGTGTGCACCACTGCGCCTGGCAAAATGCAGGCATTTCTTGGCAGCAGTTATTCTACGGGGCAGCTCTGCTGGCCCCTCCTGTGACAAGCAGTGGCAGTCACTTTGTAGGTATAAGTCTGCCCTGGTTGGGCTGAGCCATCCACATGCTCTGTAAGCCCTTGACTGGCACAAAAGGAAAATGAACTTGGAGATGCTGTAAAAAGCCTGGGATTTGGAGTCAGGTGGACCTGGCTTTGAATTCCAGTTTGACAATGAATTTGCTGGATCAGGCAAGTCATTTAAGCCACCTAAGCCTCAGGTTTCCCACCTGTAAAATAAAATGCAGTCATCCCCCTTATCCCTGGTTCTGCTTTCCAAGGTTTTAGTTCTCTGACGTCCTCCTGCATGGTCTTTTTCAATAACCCTCCTTCTGATGCATCGTCAGATCAACAGTAGCCTGATCCTACGTCATGGTGACGTTCAAATAGGCATTGCATCATCTCACATTATCACAAGAAAGATAAGGACAGTATATTTTGAGAGCAGAGAGGCCACATTCATATAACTTTTAGTATGTTGTTAAAATTCTCTGTGTGTGGAATGGGGTGGTGGCTCAGTGATAGAGCACTTGCCTCGCATGTGTGAAGCCCTGGGTTCGATCCCCAGCACCACATAAAAATAAATAAATTAAATAAAGGTATCGTGTCCATCTACAACTAATATATATATATATATAAAGTTCTGTGCATGTATGTGGTACTGGGTATTGAACCCAGGGTTTTGTTTTGTTTTTTGGTACTGGGGATTAAATCCAGAGGCGCTTAACTACTGAAGCACATCCCCAGCCCTTTTTTATATTTTATGTAGAGGCAGGATCTCACTGAGTTGCTTAGGGCCTTGCTCAATTGCTGAGGCTGGCTTTGAACTCACCATCCTCCTGCCTCAGCCTCCTGAGCCTCTGGGTTTACAGGTATGTGCCACCATGCCTGGCCATGAGACAGGGTCTTGTGAGGTTGACCAGGCTGGCCTCAAATTTGTGATCCTCCTAACTCGGCCTCCCAAGTGGCTGGGATTACAGGTTTGCACCACTGTCCCTGGTTAATTCTACTCTATTGTTAGTTACTATTGCTAATCTCTTGTTGTGTGTGATTTATACATTGGTTTATCATAGGTATGTATGAATAGAGGGGATAAAAGCATTTGTGGGGTTTGGTTCTGTCTTCAGTTTCTGACATCCACTGGCAGATCTGGAATATGTCCCCTGCAAATAGCGGGGTTCCACTTTGCGAGCATGGATGCCCTCCCAAAGGTAGCTGAGGGGCTCCTTTGCCTACTTCCATAATCTGTTTCTTGGCTCCTAGGCATGTATGAACTCAATCTGACCACCGACGGGCCTGCCACTACAGGAGCAGAGGTGACCATCTCAGCCAGCCTGGTGGCCAAGGACAATGGCAGCCTGGCACTGCCCACTGATGCCCATCTCTACCGCTTCCACTGGATCCACACCCCACTTGTGCTCACTGGCAAGATGGAGAGCGATCTCAGCTCAACCATCCGCGTGGTGGGCAACGTGCCTGGGGACTTCCCCGTCTCTGTCTGGGTTACTGCTGCCGACTGCTGGATGTGCCAGCCAGTGGCCAGGAACTTTGTTGTCCTGCCCATCACAGGTGAGGATCTTTCCTGGAATATGAATTTGCCTTCAGGTGTTTGGTGCAGAGAAATACATGCAACCTCACTAGTACACCAGTTATACCCGTGGATTCCTTCTCTATTGTCCATTGAGTTAAAAAGGGTCAGGAAATACTAATACCCTCTGCAAGCAGAGCTATGCTGAAATGGGCACTCACAGAACATATTACTCCTGGGGAATTATTAAAACAATCCTTTGGAGAACAGCTAATCAATATATATTAATGGTTATAAGCTCTTCTTGTCTTGCATTTAGTGATTTGTTATTGATTCTTCTCACTACACTTCTCTCTCTCTCTCTCTCTCTCTTCCCTCTGTCCAAGAGGTTCTGGGCCTTTTGCTCTTTTGCAGCTTATAATCTAATAATAAATTTATATTCAACAAATAAGCCTCCATTTGGCAATGTTTTATGCACTCAGATGTTCATTGCAGTAGTGTTTATAAGAAGATATAAAGGAGTTAAGTGGGCAACCATTAGGGGACTGGTTAAATGTATTGAAATAATCACCCTTACAGTAAGTTTGCAGTGCCATGGGTAAATCTGCATTCTCGTTAAATTACATAGAAAAAAAACAAAGCACAGAATCGTAGAACCAATCCAATAAGTTGTATTTTTTCTTATTCATATTCTTTTTATTTTTATTATTATCATTTTGGGAGGTACCAGGGATTGAAGTCAGGGGCACTCGACCCCTGAGTCACATCCCCAGCCCTATTTTTTATTTATTTTTTATTTTTTTGGGGGGGTACCGAGGATTGAAATCAGGACCACTAAGCCACATCCTCAGCCCTATTTTGTATTTTATTTAGAGACAAGGTCCTACTGAGTTGCTTAGCTCCTTGTTGTTGCTGACTCTGGCTTTGAGCACTTGATTCTCCTGCCTCAGCCTCCCAAACTGCTGGGGTTACAGGCCCAGCACCTTGGGTATGGAGATGCAATCTGTAGAATTATGCATTTTTCTAATTTCATCTAACATTTTGAAATGCATTTGCCCTCCAGTATCTTTGGGGGAATTTGTTCCAGAATGCCCATGGATACCAAAATCTGTAGGTGCTCAAGCCCCTTATATAGTGTTGTTGGTATCTGCACACAAACCACACACATTCTCCTGTATACTTTAAGTCATCTCTAGATGACTTAATACCCAGAACAACRGAAATGCTATGAAGTGTGAGTCTGTGTTGTTTGAAGAATAATGCAAAGGAAAGAAAAAGGCCATCCATCAATACTGATGCATTTTCTTCCCCAGTGTTTTTCTACCAGAGTTGGTTAAACCTGTGGATGCAGAACCCCTGGATACAGACAGCTGACTATATTTCCCCAAAGTTTCTTTCAAAGCCTGAAYTTCCCGGGCATCTTTTGTGCCAGGAAGTTCAGGATCCTGGTGAAAGGGAGACAGGAGTGCAAGCTATGTATGTAGCACATATTGTGAGTATCCATACATCAGGGGGACGACGTGGATGCCTGTGTGTTCAGGGACCTGTGAGGTCCCCTCTTCCCGCCCAGCTCTGAAAGCCAGAAGGTCCAGGTAGGGAGAGGCTGCCTTGCTTGCTAACCATGAGCAGCTCCCAGTCTCCTCTTTCCCAGTCCCTCTATGGACTCACCTTTCCTCTATTTCTCCCAGAGTTCCTCGTGGGGAACATCGTGGTTGCCCAGAACACCTCCCTGCCCTGGCCCAGCTCCTACCTCACCAAGACAGTTCTTAAAGTCTCCTTCCTCCTTCATGACCCAAGCAACTTCTTCAAGACAGCCTCCTTTCTCTACAGCTGGGACTTCGGAGATGGGTATGTCTTGATGTAGCCTCTTTAACATCCCAAAGGCATGAAGTGGTAGCCAGGGTCCCTTAGTGCCTGCCCTGCTATCCCTCCTGTGCAGAATGCTCCTTACTCATCCACCAAACCTTTCTTGAGCACCTGTTCTGTGTGGGGCCTGGGGTCCCAGGGATGTTCATGAACTGGTTTGCTGGTCCTGCCTTTGACATGTTGCAGTCCAATAGAGGGGGCCCATCTGTGCCCAGCACAGCCCTTAAGGAAGGTCAAGGTAGGTAGGATTTTTCCCCATTTGACTCTGATGGGCTCCAAGCCTAAACCGGGCCTTCTTTATATATTTTGCAAAGGCTCAGATCTGTAGTGTCTTCCCTGAAAATTTATTCTGGGAGTATTGCAGCATCAAAATATATAAGAAAGAAGGTCCTGTTAGGGAAATTACCCAGAAAGAGGAGAATAAAGGGAACACACACACACACACACACACACACACACACACACACATCATAGATTTTAATATTCCACACTCTGACTTTGATATTTCAGAGACAACTGAGGTAGCAACAGAGGATTTTCATAACACTGTTTGAAAAAAATATTGTTGTGTTTCTATGCAGAACTTTGGACCTAAAAACAAAATAATGTATGAGTATTTACAAATATGTAAAATAAAATCACATTCTATAACCTAAAATGCCAAACATCCCCTAAAAGAAAATGTATAAGCTTCGTATTCCAATCACAGTACAGACCAGAAGTTCACAAAGATTTTTTTTTTTTTGCTCACAAACCTAATGCACAAAAAGTTGTAGACCAGCTTGGAGGTTAGTGAACTCTAAAATTAGAAGGAACCATCATCCGCAAGGCTGCCCTCACTTCTGAGACTGACTTGCTCAGCTGGAGGGAGCACTGTCCTCCGCAGGAACATCGTCTCTTTTGCTAGAGTTTGAGTCTGATATGTCCCTCAAAGGTCCCCAGYATGTGCTGTTGGGAGGTGGTGGAACCTTTAAAAGGTGGAGCCTAGTGGGAGGTCTTAGGTAATCAGGGGCATGCCCTTGAAGGAGACTGTGGGATCCTGCCCCTTCTTCTCTTTTCACCCCATCATAAGTCAAATGGGCCTTTTCTGCTGTGTGCTCCCTCCATGATATACTGGGCTGCCACGGGCCCAAAGCAGTGGGGCCAACCAGTCATGCTTGTGAGCCAAGAGGAATCTTTTCTCTTTATAAGCTGATCATCTCTGATATTATTTGATACAGTAACAGAACACTGACTAATACAACCTCTGACACCAATTGCAGGTTTGACGATGGAGGGTTCCCAAGACCATGCTAAGGTTGGATAATTGCCCAGAAAGTTTCACATGACCTACTGGACTCAGAATAATGGTTTAATATTAGATTTCATCATGAGCTGTTAGACTCATAGGTATGGTTTAATATGGGATTAACCATGGATTAACCCAGGGGCGCTTAACTACTGAGCCACATCCCCAGACCTTTTTATTTTTTGAGACCCTATTAAGCCATACCTATGAGTATAATAGCTCATGATGAAATCTAATATGAAGGATCACAGACCCTGTGATTCCATTTAACCATAATTGCCTCTTTAAAGGCTCTATCTCTAGATATGGTCACACTGGGGGCTAGAGCTGTAGCATATGAATTTAGAGGGGACACAGTTTATTCCATAACAGGGTTCTGTTGCATAGGAATGACGGACTACCCATGTGATTGACCTCAAGCTCCACGTCAAGTGATACCATGTGACCCAAAGCCTCCACCCTAAATGAGCCTACTGATAAGGACACCAGCCAGGGCTTGAGGTCATCTGGCCCATTTCACAGATACAGAAACTGAGGCCAGGGAGGGCAGGAGAGGTCCCAACTCACCTCCATTCCTCTGGGTAGGGCTCTGATGTGAATGAAAGGCCATGTGTCCTCCAAGAAGGAAATGGGGGACAGACACTTGGCCTCATGCTGCGCAGGGACAGCTGGCAGGACCTGAGCACTTCTATCTGCCAACCACATGAAGCCTTCACCAAAGAAACTCCAACTAGAAGCCCCGACCCCCAACGTCCAACTGCAGATCCCTTTTCCTGCCAAGGGCCAGGAAATCCACAGTCCGAGTTTCACCACTCAGTGTCGTTAGACTATCCAGAGGGACCCTCAGGCAAACAAAGGTACCCCACCAATTGGACATTTTAAAACATGATTCTTGGGGATTGGAAGTTTAGCTCAGTAGTAAGGCAAGTGCTTAGCATGTTCAGGGAGGGCTCTGTTTTGAACTTAGCATCATCACTATCAACAACAACAACAACAACAAAAAAAACTTTTAGGTTGAAAGAAACTGTGATGAGATAATATTAGAAAATAGTGAGGAGGGGAACATTGTGCATACAAACCTAAGAGAATATCTGTTTCAAGGCTGTAAACAGAGACAAATGCATAGTCTTAAGTGTTTTCATGATTATTTTTAAGGAAACATGAAGATTAAAAAAAATTCAACTCAAGGACTTAGAAGGGAAAAAACATATGCAAAAAGTGAAAGAATTGACATTTATCAAAATACAAAAAGATAAATTAGAAATAGAAAACCGGAATTGATAAATTCTTTTTTTTTTTTTTTGCAAAAGATGGGGCAGAGGAAATAAAGTGTGGAGATCTCCAGCTATTATTAATTTCTTGAAAGGAGAAAGTATGCATTTACACACGAATTTCAAATCCTATCAAGGATTTGAAAGTAGCGATCACTACGGGTATAGTAATACTGATTTTTTAAAGTGTAAGGTATTACTTTGTTTAATTCAAAACTCCATGTTAATCTATTTTAAAATGATAGTGAATGGAATGATATCCTAGGAAAATGTAAATTACTAGAATGACTTGAAGAGTTATCTCTAAGAACCAACAAATCAGGTGACTTTATTAGCAAGGTATTTTAGGCTTTCAAAGATCCATTAAATATCCTGTTATGATATAAATTCCTCCAGAGCAGTCTACAAAACTAACACAGCTCAAACTAGGAAACTACATGCCATTTTTTTAATCTTACATCACTTCATTAAATTAATAATACACCAGAGTCAACAGAGTCACACATGTCTGAAATTGTCACCAAATCCTTTTATCTTCAGAGGAAAGAGAGAGCAGTCTTCAGACCCTTACAGAGGTCCAGCCCAGGAGCCACCTGTCCTTCCAAGCTGTAGATTTCATGTGAAAACAGATGCCCAGTGTATACTCTACCCCATAATGTATCTGTATTTCTTTTTTCTTTTGGTACTGGTGATTGAACCCAGGGGCGCTTAACCACTGAGCCACATCCCCAGACCTTTTTATTTTTTGAGACAGGACCTTGCTAAGTTGCTTAGGATCTTACTAAGTTCCTTTCTTTCTTTTTAAAATTTTTTTAAATAGTTGTAGATGGACAGAATACCTTTATTTTATTTGTTTATTTTTTGGGGGTGCTGAGGATCGACCCCAGTGCCTCACACATGCTAGGCAGGCGCTCTACCACTGAGCCACAGCCCTGGCCCTGGGTCTTGCTGTTACTGAGGCTGGTCTTGAACTTGCAATCCTACTGCTTCAGCCTCGCATACTGCTGGAATTACAGGTGTGCACCACCATGCCCGACTCTATCTGTATTTCCTTTAATCAAAACATAACTATGGGGGCTGGGATTGTGCTCAGCGGTAGAGCGCTCGCCTAGCACGGATGGGACCCGGGTTCAATCCTCAACACCACATAAAAATAAAGGCATTGTGTTGGGTCCATCTACACCTAAAAAAATAAATGTTAAAAAAAAACCCATAACTATGGGGGCTGCAGTTRTAGCTCAGTGGTAGAGCACGTGCCTAGTATGTGTGAGGCACTGGGTTCAATCCTCAGCACCACATAAAAATGAATAAATAAAATGAAGGTATTGTGTCCATCTACAACTAAAATAAATAAATAACTGTATTTAAAAAATCCATGCCAGGCCCAGTGGCGCATGCCTGTAATCCCAGTGGCCTGGGAGGCTGAGGTAGGCAGATCGCAAGTTGAAAGCCAGCCTCAGTAACGGCAAGGCTCTAAACAACTCAGGGAGACCCCGTGTCTAAATAAAATACAAACTAGGGCTGGGGATGTGGCTCAGTGATCAAGTGCCCCTGAGTTCAATCCCCGATACAAAAAAAAAAAAGTAACTATGGCCCAAGRTTATGTTATCTTTTGTTCATCCTAGTTTGAAAAGCATCAAAGTCAAGAGTTACTTAGAATACTAAAAGAGGAACTGTATTATTTTAGTTCATCATTTTAATATGTCAAAGGGGAGAGATTATGGGATTGTCTCTTTAGACATCAAAGAAGTGTTAGAAGGAGCAGAAGTGGACGTTCTGTGTGATCTCAGTAAACTGGAACAGGAGTTGCTAGAATCAACACGGACACGGTACCGAGTGGTGAAACTCAGACTGTGGATTTCCTGGCCCTTGGCAGGAAAAGGGATCTGCAGTCGGACATTGGGGGTCAGGGCTTCTAGTTGGGGTTTCATTGGTGAAGGTTTCACGTGGTTGGCGGGTGGAAGTGCTGAGATCCCGACAGCTGTCCCTGTGCAGCATGAGGCCAAGTGTCTGTCCCCCGTTTACTTCCTGGAGGACACACAGCCTTTCATTCACATCAGAGCCCTACACAGAGGAATGGAGGCGAGGTGGGACTGCTCCTGTCCTCCCTGGCCTCAGTTTCTATATCTGTGAAATGGGCCAGCGGACCTCACGCCCTGGCTGGCTGGGGGTGGAGGAGTAAGGGGCTGCTGCTGGGATGACCGGTGTCCTCATCAGTAGCCACATGTCACCATCGGCTGCCCCCACTCTGACAAGCCCACAAATCTCCTCTGAGTTATAGGAAAGGGAAAAGACCCTCCATCTTCTTCCTCTCTCCTCCCTGTCCTTCCAGGACCCAGATGGTGACCGAAGACTCCGTGGTCTATTATAACTATTCGATTATTGGAACCTTCACTGTGAAGCTCAAGGTGGTGGCCGAGTGGGAGCAGGCAAAGCCAGACGCCACCAACGGCATTGTGCAGAAGACCGGTGACTTCTCTGCCTCGCTGAAGCTGCAGGGTAGGTCCCTGAGGAGCCCTGGACTCCTCTGCCTTCCTGATCACATTGACCCTTGCTGTYGTTGGCCTGAGCTTGGATGCACATCGCGCCCCCTCATGCCCCACACCCCCTGCGAGTCTCCACTGGTATCCCCCGCTCAGGTGAGGGCACCCAAGGCTGCATTTGGGGTCCCGAGGCTGCTCAGTGGCAGGGCTGGCATTTGAGCCCAGGTCTTCCTGCCCCCGGAGCCTGATTGTGATCAGACGTCTGCTGAGAGCTGGAAGACCCCCTCTGCTCCCTGTTGCCTGATCACATCGACTTCCAGTGGCTTTCTTGGTTTTGGGTGGTGCTTTTCCCATAGCACAAGTGACAGTTAGGTGGCAGTGAGCAGGAGAGCTGGCCTGTGCCTGCTTCTCTGAATTCCTCTCTCTGAGCTGGCCCCAGTACCTACTGCTGACAGGGAAGTGTCCTGGACAGATCTGTGACCCTCCCTTGGGACATAGAGGAGAGGAGAGGGTGGGTCTGGGAGCCCCTGACAGCAGTCCTCAGCCTTTGAGTCCAACGGGGTCCTCTTTCCTTACAGAAACCCTTCGAGGCATCCAGGTTTTGGGGCCCACCATAATTCAGACCTTCCAAAAGATGACAGTGACCTTGAACTTCCTGGGGAGGTGAGTGAACCCTAGAGTGCACTGCCAGTGCCCTGTGACCCTTTTGCACTCTGACAGAGGCTCCATCCCCTGAAGGCCCCAAGTCTGACGGCTTATGGAAGGATGGTTCCACTCTGCCCCTTGGCTGTGCTCTGGGGACAGCCATGGGCACAGCTCCTTTCTTGGAGTTCCAGGGATGAGCAACAGACTCCCAGAAAGCCCGCTGCACCCTCTGGCCTCAGGGATCTTGCACCAGCCAGCAGATGTGGGAGGAGTCTGCTTTGCACCAGGCTCTGTTCTGGAAGCTGTTGGGAGAGTGCATAAGAGAGATGCTACTTCCCAAGGTTTGTCTGCAGCAGTGGACAAGGGGGGACCGGAAACAGAAGCAGATCATCCCAGCAATGTGTCACGGGCAAGCCCTCTCAGGGGACCCAGCAGGGCTCTTGGCCAGAGCAGAACGAGACTGAGGCTGTAGAAAGTGAGGAGACGTGGAGATGTTGAGTGCGTGTTCTCCACAAAGCTGCCCTCCCTAGGGCCACTGAGTGAGAGAGAGAGGCAGAGGTCAGTGATCAGGACTCAGCCCTCCGAGCACTCGTGTGCCAATACGGGGACATATCAGAGGGATGCCAGGCCAGGCAGAGTGAGCAAAGTACAGAGTAGGAAGCCATTGAGGTTGGCATTTGGCAGCCTGATATTATTTTTGGTACTGGGGATCAAAGCTAAGGGTGCTTTTACCACTCAGATACATCTCTAGCCACTCCCCCATTAAAAAAAAAATTGAGACAGGGCCTTGCTCAGTTTCTGAGGCTGGCCTTAAATTTGCAATCCTCGGGCTGGGGATGTGGCTCAAGCGGTAGCGCGCTCGCCTGGCATGCCTGCGGCCCAGGTTCGATCCTCAGCACCACATACCAACAAAGATGTTGTGTCCGCCAAAAACTAAAAAATAAACATTAAAAATTCTCTCTCTCTCACTCTCTCTTTAAAAAAAAAAAAAAAAAAATTTGCAATCCTCCTGTCTCAGCCTCCGAGTCACTGGGCAGCCCTGACCTTTGAGGAGCTGTGAGTGTGTGAGCCCGGAATGTTCTTTTGACATTTCTCCAATAGGCTTGCATTCTCTAGCATCTGAGACGGTGCTGTGCAGATAAAGCAGACTGGTCACATCCTATTCAAAGGCCTGCTATGCCTTAGATCCTGCTTAAACACCACCTCCTCCAGGAAGCCTCCCCTGATCTCCTAGTTCAGAATGTGGTCCTTTCCCTGTGCTTCGGAAACAACCCTTGGAAACAAGCTCCCTGTGCCACTGTGCTTCCAGAGCATGCCCGGTTCTGCCTCACTTAGCATTCCTCCCTTAGTGGACAAGGGGGGACCGGCAGGTCTCAGCCCACTAGCCTGAATCCCCCTGGGGGTCCATTGTTTCTGCATCATCATACCCCCCTGGAATATGGGATGTTGGGACCAGGATGGGCTTGGCGTCCTGTCCTGGAAAGGACATCGAAGTTCATGCCCACCTGGCTTTTCTTGGACTTGGTCTGAGCTCCTTCCTTGCTGATCCTTATCTCAAAACCTGTCCCCTTCCCTTGCAGCCCACCTCTGACCATGTGCTGGCGGCTCAAGCCCGAGTGCCTGCCCCTGGAGGAAGGAGAGTGCCACCCCGTGTCTGTGGCCAGCACAGCTTACAACCTGACCCACACCTTCCGCGATCCTGGGGACTACTGCTTCAGCATCCGGGCTGAGAATGTCATCAGCAAGACACATCAGTACCACAGGATCCAGGTGTGGCCCTCCAGTAAGTGACACCTCATGTCCTGCTGCAGCGCCATGTAGGCGACAAGATCCTGCCCACCTTGCTACCATCACCCATATGCTCCTACAGGCCGACCTTGCCAAGGTCATCAACAACCAGCCACATCCTTGTTGACCAACATGCCAATACCAGCATCACCACTCTACCAAAACCCTCAGCAGCCAACTCTACCAATCTCAGTACCAGCACCCATCCATCTACCAGTATCACCGTCAACATCTGCACCACTAAACAAACCAAGCCAACTACCCCCATTACACACACGCCTAACAATTCTTCCAGCACCGTCATCATCATAGGAACAACCCCATCAGTATTCCCACCAGATTACCTCAGGCTTCTCTGTCCCCAAACACTTCTATGAACACCAGTCTGGATGGTGTTTCACCACCGACCACTGGACCAAGACCATTTCTACTGGGCCGACCAGGACCCCTCAATGTCAACTCTCATCACCACCATTGTTAACACCCCTCCCACAGGTTACCAACCACACGTGTCCCTGACATGAATGCTCCTGCACTAAGTGGACCCCCACCATCCCAATGTTCCCTCCTTCTCCCCCACCCTCTGCCCTGGTGCTATTGCCACCACTAAAATCAGTATCCCTAACAGTGACTTTGCCCAGCTCTCAGGGCTGTGGTGTCTTCCAGAGAGTATGAGTGACCCAGAAAGTGCCAAGTGTGGTTGAGAACTCTGGGACCTCAGGAAAGTGCATCCTTACACAGAGGGGACAGTAGGATTCTAGGACCCTGAGGGGTGGTTTTCAGATGCCCCACCTGGTTCCATTGTCAGTACTACAAAAGGGGAAACCAGAGCTGGACCTCAGCGTGAATCTGAACACAGATTTTTGCTCCAGTACTCTTCTGTGGGAGTAGGAGTTTGTCTCGGGGCTTCTGAGCTCATTCCAAACTCTTCCAGCTATGCCTGTCCCCAAGGCTGGCCTTGTAAGTCTATTCAACACTGTCTCTGCCTGCTCCAACCTCCCCAGCACCCCCTGAATCCCTGAGAAGATGTAGTGCTCTACTCCAGGCCCTGGCTGACCTGTGGGCGTCACTGGGTGCCTTGGGCCCTGCTGCCTCCCCTCTGGGTGGTTGGTGTCCAGAACCCCTAAGTTCTGTGGAGAAGACAGTGGTACAGGAAATCATGCCATATTTTCCTAGAAAACAGAGCCTCATGGCAGAGGGTCGGGAAGAGTGAGAGGGAACCCGCACTTCCTGATGACCTACTGTGTGCTGGGCATATCCTTGCTCCTTACATCTTCACATCSTCACTGTGGCAGCCTCATCAATGAGCATTAGTGTCAGGTATCCTGGGTAGAGCCAGGAATCAAACCCAGGACCACCTCTGCAGACACTGGGTTCTTTCTACTCTGCCATCTGCTTCCCAGCAATAGACTTGGTGGGTAAACCCAGGACTTCCAGAATGAGACAGGTTGCATCAGAGGTCACAATGCTGCTTAGAGGTTCCCACAACATGGTGCCCCTTCCCCCAAGCAAGTCACCCAGGAGATCAAGGAGGAAGTGGTGATGTCTCTTATGGCTCAGACTTGGGAGTCATGTGCTGTCATTCTGTCCTTGTCTGTACACTAGGAGCCGGTCCCTGAGTCCAGCCCAACACTCAAGGGTGGGGAATCTATGTTACCCTCTCAGAAGTGACCTGAATAACTTGTGGGCATATTTTAAAACCTCCATGCATCTCAATTTGTTTTTTTATCATGTCWTAGATTTGCTCGTTGAGGTTGTGTAGTTGGGATATGTGTACGTAAGATCACTGTCGGAGGTCAGCTCCTCTCCGCATTATGAGAGAACCACCATTTCAGCAGCAGCTACCCAGCCYCATAACTTGTGCTGTCTCACTCCCAGGCATCCAGCCAGCTGTCTTTGCGTTCCCATGTGCCACACTTATCACTGTGATGCTGGCCTTCATCATGTACATGACCCTGAGGAATGCCACTCAGCAGAAGGACATGGTGGAGGTGGGTGCTCAGTAGACTATAAGCTGAACCATTGGCCCCTGCCTGGGAAGGATCTCTGGAGTGGGCCTGGGGAGCCAGCAGGATGCCTGGAGGGGGTTCTGATATTAGAACAAGGCCCTGGGGTTTGGGATGATGTGCCAAAGAGGTATCTATAGATTGGGCAAAATTGGTGAGTTGGTGTCCCACCTGACTTACCTCCTTCTATGCCCACCCTTTGCACAGTATATGTAGTGCCAGACGAGCATGTCTGTGCACATTGCTGCTAGGCTGCTGAGCTTTTAAGGCCACCTAGGGACTCCCAGTGGGTGGTGATTGACCCGTGGGGTTTTGTTCACTATAGGTGGCTGATTTTGACTTTTCCCCCATGTCTGACAAGAACCCGGAGCCGCCCTCTGGGGTCAGGTGCTGCTGCCAGATGTGCTGTGGGCCCTTCTTGCTGGAGACTCCATCTGAGTACCTGGAAATTGTTCGAGAGAACAACGGTCTGCTCCCGCCCCTCTACAAGTCTGTCAAAACTTACACTGTGTGAGCGTCCCCTGCCTATCCTGACTCAGTGTTAACCGATTGCCAATTGGGAACCTCAAAGAGGGTGGTGTGCGTCACAGAGCAGGAGGAGTTCATGTGTGGGAGGCAGTTTGCCCAGGCCAGCCATCCCATCTGTATTGTCCAGCTATTGCTGCAAGCCCCTCTCAGTCACCCCACCCCCAGCCACTCTCTCATCTGTACAGTCCAGCTACTGCCATAGCTCTAGTCACCCCACCAACCCTCTGCCAAGCAGGACTCTTGACACTTGGCATGTTCCCTTTTGACTCTCCCAGGTGGATCTGGTTACCACTCACCCATTCCTCTCATGTTGGTACATCTACCTTCTTTTAGGAATTCATGCTTCCCTCCCCAGGGCAGCCCGGCGGATGCAAGAGGGCTAGGAAGGAGGTCTCAGGTGGCTTAGGATAAAAGATCACAGCTGGGTACAATCGTGGAGAGGAATACACAGAGAGAGAGAGAGAGAGAGAGAGAGAGAGAGAGAGAGATGTGTCACATGGGCATTACAGATAATTTGCTCTCTATTTATTTGTTCCATTGCTGGGAGGCACCTGAACTAGAACTGGAACCCACAACCCACTCAGCCCTTGTAGCTCCTGGGTCTGGCCTCTCCATTTGTGCTGTCTCTGAAGCTCCCTGATCCCATTATGAGCCATGTTACCCTGACTTTCTTACTGGGGATGGAGTAGGAGAAGGAAGAACACTTCCTGAGTGCTTTATAAATTCACCTTCTTTTATTTATTGAGACCCATAAGTTCAATGTCCATCGAGGGAAAACCTTGCAGCAAAAGGAGAGATGGAGCCAGTGGGGACTTGGGTTCTCAGTGTGTGTCTGGACAGGGTGCACTTTGCCTATCCAGCAGCTCCCAAGGTGACCTTGAGAAGGAAGAAATGGGAGGGTTACAGCCCCCCTCTCCTCCCCTCTAGCCTAGTGACCTGGGGGAGACAGAGCAGGTGCCCAGGGAGATGATGATCAGACCCAGGTGCAACCGTCCAGGTGTGCCAGGGGCAGCCTGCACCTGTTGGGGAGAGAAGGGCAGGACCGTGGGGACAGGGCTCTGTTGCTGTGACCATTTGCTCTCAGACTTTTGTGCTGAAAATAGCATTCACAATGTCRTGCAGCTCATTCCCATGAAACACTGCCATCATCCCCAAATAAAGCTTAAGTGCTCTGAATATCGCCAAGTACACCAGGTGTAGCAGAATCTCTTTTTCATGCACGGATGTTGGGGCCTTGCAAATGGCCAAGGCGGTACTCAGATCCAGTGGGACATCCCATTGTGTTCTGTGGCGATGGGCAATGACTGGAGCTCATTTGGATCCCTGGAGAGGGGTCAATGTCCTTTGGTGACACAGTCCGGTCTGAGATCCCAGGTGGATGCTAGAGTCTGAGAGGGGATTTAGGCCACCCCTGGGAAGTGGCTGGAAACGCAGATCTCTGGGCACCACCGCACACCTGAATCGGGACCTGGGGAGGCGAGTTGCCTCCTGTTTTCATAAGCCCCAGGGACTGCAGAGCATGGGCAAGTGTCAGAACCTCCGGTCTCTGTGATGCCGTCCGTTGGGATAATTCATAGTTAATTGCGGGAGCTCTTGTTCAGTGACAGTTGCATGGAAGAGCTTTGGAGTGGGACCTGGGGTTCTGCATTAACAGGAAGTCCTTGGGTGCTGCTGATGCTGCTGGTCCTCGGACCATACGTACGGCTGCAGAGATCTGAGTCTAGATGCTTCCTTTGCTTTGTTCCTTCTGTAAGAGGTTTGGAACTTTCCCTCAACTGCCTCCTCTCCCACCAGCCAACAGGTGTGCCCCAAGCTCCAAAGCATTTGACACGGGTGGGAGTGGCCCCTGAGGATGAAGGACTGTCCTTTGTCCCACTTGTGTACCACCATGAACGAGCAGAGTCACCTGGAACTTTCCCACCTTCAGCATCATTTTTTAAAAATTTTTTATTTTATTTTATTTTATTTTGTACCAGGGATTGAACCCAGAGGTGCCTGACCACTGAGCCACATCCCCATCCTTTTTTATATTTTATTTAGAGACAGGGTCTCGCTGAGTTGCTTAGGGCCTCACTAAGTTGCTGAGGCTGGCTTTGAACTCGTGATCCTCCTGCCTCAGCCTCCCCAGCTGTTGGGATTATTGGAGTGTCCACCAGGCCAGGCAGCATCATTGGTATTTAAACRAGGTGCTGCCACACCACCCTTCCCCTGAGCCCCAAGCAGGGATCCTTGACTTATTTTAAAGGATTTATGATAGACAAGAGCCAGCTGTCATTTCAGAACAACTCCCTGCTAGGACAGTCGGTAGCTCCTCCATACCCTGCACCTGTTTCCGAGAACCCAGAATAAGAGAAAGCARACTCCTCTCAGGGATTTAAGGTGGGGCTGTTCCTATTGAAAAGGAGGTTACATCTCTGCACAAAATCACACAGGCGTTTTTATTTTTATTATTATTATTGATTTTAAAACAAATTATCAACCTCATAGAAAGGTTAGCTAGAGGGAGCCATTGGGGGAAAATGAACACTGTCGAAAAAAAGGTCACTTGGCCAACCTGAGATGCTTGCAGCTGTAGAAGAATTCAGTAGCAAGGTGTTTTGCAAAATTCGGGGCTGCTGAGGCCCTGGGTGGTGGTGGGGATCTCCTTGTCCAGGCAGGCAGAGCTGAATGCTGAAGGTCCCTCTCTGCCCTGGGCAAGGCAGGTCTTTCAGGGTGCCCCCCAGTTTGTTCATACTCTCTGGGAGCTTTTCTCTGGGCAGGGGGCAGGGTTGCAAGAGTAGGGCATCATGGTGGGGGTGCTCAATGCATATTTCCTGAGCAGCCCCTGGCCCTGCTCTGGAAGGCCTGTGGCCACTGTCCAGCACATCAGCTTCTCCCTGCCACCCACCCATGTCCTTATTAGCAGAATTACAATCCTATATTAGCTCTCCTCCCACCCCACACCCCCGGATGACAGGCCTGGAAGACAGGAGGGACTGGAGCATCTATTCCCATCACCCTGCAGTCCCAGGAAGGACCTGATTTATCACTGATGAGAGAGACTGAGCTCCCACGTCCAAGTTCCATCAAGAGCGTGTCCATTGATTTTTATTTTTTTCTTCAGTGCTGGGTGTGGCACCCAGGACGTTGAACATGGTAACCACTGAGCTCCATGTCCAGCCCCAATTGATACAATTTTGCCCAAACTAATAAAAATCATATTTTCCGCCAGGTATGTTGGCACACCTCCGTCATCCCGATGGTTTGGGAGGCTGAGGCAGGAGGATTGCAAGTTCAAAGCCAGCCTCAGCAACTTAGCCAGGCCCTAAACAACTTAGTGAGAATCTGTCTCAAAATAAATATAAATAAAAAATAAAAAGGGGTTAGGGATGTGGCTCCGTGGCTAAGCACTACTGGGATCAATCCCTGATACAAAAATAAATAAATAAATAAATAAATAAATAAATAAATAAATAAATAAATATCTTTCCTTTAGGAGCCTTGCAAAGGCTCAGATGAGTCCCCTCCCAAATCCCTGGACAGGATGGGGGATCTTGGGAGACTTCTCAAGCCTGATATGATTAAAGTGCATTTCCATGAAAATGTAGACAAACACACATGGACTGGTTTGAACAGTGTCCCTGCCAAATCCATGTCCATCTGGAACCAGTATATATGACCTTGTATGGAAAAAATGGCTTTAGCCAAGTGAGGTTGRGTTCATTCCAGACTGGGGTGGGCCCTTCTACAATGACCAGAGTCCTTAAGAGAGAAATGTGTTCAGATCCAGATTCATGAATAGGGAGAAGAGCTACGTAACCATAGAGACCGACTCTAAGGTTGCAGGGTAACCATGGAGACAGAGATTGGAGTGGTGCATCTACAAGCCAAGGGATGCTAAGCACTGGCAGAACCCCCAGGAGCCAGAGAGGCCAGAACATGTGGCTTTCCAGAGGGAACCGTCCTTGCTAACACCTGGATCTCAGATTTCCAGCCACCTGAGCTGTCAGAGAATACAGTTCTATAATGAGCCACGCAGCTTAAGGCACTTTAAGCCACGGGAAACCAACATGCTCTGTTGTGTCCCTTTGGGCATCTCGCACCCGCCATGTCTGTCCAAGAGGAAATTCTTCGGATGAAACCCAGAACCCAGCCACTTCTCCCCCTACCCCCCCCCCCACTGCCTGTCCCTGGTGGAGCCTCCACTTTCCATCAGGGGCCACGCGCCCCTTGTCCTGTGCTTAAGTCTGTCCTCAAAACTGCAGCAGATCACCATTGGTTTTGGTTTTGGTTACCAGGGATGGCGGAGGTTGGTGACGTGCACAAAGTTCTGGTGCTCCTTTGCACAGTACGGTGAAGGTCCTGAAGAGCAATGCCTTGTGTATTTCAACCTCGCTGGAAGAGAGGGTTGCGGATGCTGTCACTATAAGGAAATTAAAAAGAAAATGTGTGAGCAGATTACCCYGCTCTGAGTATTGCACATGGTGGAATAATTGAAATACCACACTGTATCCCATAAATACACACCATTACATGTCAGTTTAAATTCTTTTAATAAAAAAGGAGGTGGCGCCAGAGCCATATCCTCCTTTGCCCCCAACCTCCCATCTTAGAGTAAATCCAATGTCCTTCCTGTGGTCCTCAAGGCCCTGCACATCCTGCAYTGTGACCTCACTGACTTCACCTCGGCACCTTGTCCATTCCCCGGGTGGGATGCTTTTCCCTAGAGACGCACAGTGCTTCCTTCCCCTCCTTCACACATTCCCCACTCTGTGAGGTCAACCGCCCACCTCCCTGTTCTACCTGCCTCCATAGCTTTTATCATCTGCTTTGCGTTCTATTCATTTAACTTACTTATTCAATCTCTTTCTCCATAGACTATAAGTTCCAAGAAGGAGAGAACGTTGCCTTCTCTGTTTATTATTTCTTTTCCAGCACCTAGAATGATACCGAGCACATAGTAAGTGCTCATTAAATTTTGGTGACAGGGCAGGAAGGGGCTACTCC